GTTATCATACTTGTTACATACTTTACACAAAAAGCAAAAAGCAAAAAGGGTGGAACACATCTTGTGTTTTGCTCTTTTTATTTCCTTGTCGATTACACACAAATGTAACACTTCTAGGAGTTCTATCTTTGGCTTTGCGAGTTGTCCTAGTCCGCATTGGAAATCCTACACTTCGAGCATAAGCCAGATAGTGTTCTCGAATTTCTTCAATGCTTGTAAACTTCATCCCCACTTCAGGCATGCTACCTTTGTTTCCTTTAGAAGGACATTGACCATTGTTACAGTACCTTTAATATAATAAAATACCTGACTATTAAGAAAACAATAATACACCAAATGCAGAGTGCATACAGATAATTAGCGTCTGTGACAAGAACAAACCCTAGATTCACAGAACTTTAATTTCTGTAACACCAAAACAAAACAGTTTTTTTCACAACTTCAATTGAATATAGAATAGGGTCTAAATATAAACACTTACAACTGGGCTGCAACTCATATAAAACCAGGTCTAAATCTTTGAGACAACACAAAAAATGCAGCAAACCACTTCTCTCTTTTTTCTTTTTGCAGAATCGGCCCTTTTCTTTTTGTTACACGGCAACAAGGAAAAGGAAACAAACTCATATTTTCCCACTTTGGGTGCAAATAGTACTCCTAAATTAACAAAATAGGGAGTACCTTTACAAAACTGGGTGAAGCAATCTCTTTGTCGGCGCACGAACGGATCCGGAACGGTTGGGTGCAAAATTGCTCGGTCGTGGGACTTTTCGAACCCGCCGGTGATTGATATGTTCGGATTGATTTTTTGAATCTGCCGATGATTGATAACAATTCAACCGGGATTTTTCGAACCCGCCGGCGGCGACCTGCAAGTGGGTCGTAGACAAAAGAAAAAAGAAAAAAGGAGAAAAAGTAAAAAAAAGGTTAAATAAGGAGGCAGTAAAGGAGGCAGGGGTGGGTGCACTATAGCACGGTCCTTTAAATTATCATAAATATGGAGTATGAGTTTTTGCAAGCTAGGTAGGCATAATGACATGTAGGACCGGAAGACGTAGAAAATATAACACCATGCATGGGAGTTTACATCAAATTATTATGAAAAAGGATTCGTGTATCCCATCTATACAACAAACTTCTCAGAGAGCTGAGACACACATTTTATTAGGATACACTAATTAGGATACACCTAGCACACCTTAAATATATACTCCGTATTAGGAAAAGTTTACATCAAATTATTATATTAGAAAAATGCATACTTGATATACATAAGAATATAAGATGTGTTTGGAGCCTTTAGTATTCGCGTTTTGAAAAACTTATCGAGCTAGTGATAAAGTTGAGATATAATTTAACATTTTCAAAATTAATCCATACTTTTAATTTTTTTAAAGCTAAGGTTAATAATAATAAAAAATCAAACAAAGCTGCACATTTTTTTTATGTATGCCAAATACTCCTTACTATCCAAATGTTTACTCTGTGTTTGGTTTGATGAAAATTAGGTAAAGATTAGAAAAAGAAAGATTATTTTTTTTCCTACCATTCTTTTTCTTTTGCATGTAAAGAAAATGATTTTGATCCAAACCTAAATGATAGAAATTTAAGGAGCGAAAACCGCATCTCGCCCCACAATAATAGCCAAACCACACATTCTTATTAACAGAGTGACCAGAAAACACAGTCATTTTTTCTAATTACCCCTTCTTATGAATTAATCACTGCCCTTTTTCGTTTTCTACCCTATTAAATTTCATCATCAATTATTTCTCCATTATCATTATCAATTAATTAATTGATTAATTAACCATCATTACTGCGCTGCCATGGATCTCCGGCTGTCAATGATTGTGGTCCTGACATTATCATCGGCGGCGATGATTCCAGCCGCGGAATCGTCGGCGGTGCCGGTGGAACGCCACGCGGCGCTACTGACCCGCCGTGCGAGAACGAAATGCGGCGGCGGAGGAGGAGATCTGGTCGGAGACTGCGGCGGGGAGGGGGAGGAGATGTCGATGGAATCTGAGATGAGCCGGCGGGTTCTGGCCCAGACGCGGTACATAAGCTACGCCGCCTTGGCCGCCGACACCATCCCGTGCCGGAGACGCGGCAACTCGTACTACAACTGCCTCTCGCACCAGCAGGCCAACCCCTACCGCCGCGGCTGCTCCGCCATCACCCACTGCGCCAGAGGTTGAAGAAGACTTCTATATATATTTCAATAAGCTCTTTTCAGTTTGGCCAAGTACTTTTCTTCTGGTTTCACATGTCACGTTTTTAATAAAATGTACGCAATTGGGCGAAATGTGATTGAAATTTGTGTCCACTTGAAAGTTTAAGGGACGTGTTTATATAGGTATATGAACATTTTATAAAGTGTTACGAATGAATATTTATTTCATTTATTATAAATTTTGGTGATGTGAGAAGGTTCATGTGTTTTTAGGTTAAGCTTATTTTGAGTTTCTTTAATTGTTTTTGATCTTTAGATCTGAATGTTATACATCTAGCCTAGTTAGAGTGGAAGTGGAAGGAAAGGAAAAAAAATTAGAAGGAAAATTATTCTCGGTGATTAATTAATTATAATCACGTTAAAACCCACTTGCATTAGAACACTGGAAATACATTTGAAGCCCTGGGGCCTTTAAATTGGGGCTTTAAAATTTCTCTCTCCGTCACTTCAGCTTTAATTACTTCACAATTTTACTGGAAATGAGTATGAAGCGCCGGAGCTTCAAACTGGGGTTTCGAACCTTAATTTTCTTAATTTTGTATTACATATTTTATAAAATTAAATTAATAAAAATTTATTAATTATTTAAATTTAAACGACAATAATTCATTAAATAAAAATAATTACCTTCAATAAAAAAGAACATTTAATTAAAAAAGTTACATTAATTAAAAACTTAAAACAAATTATATTTAGCATCTCGTTATGTCTTCTCTCGAAAGCAAATTATATTTGCTTGGTCGTTTGACTCGAGACCGGACAAAGGAACATTAAAACTGAAGAGACTCATGTTAAAAAAGATGAAAAAAATTGAATATTTTTTTTACATTTGAAGAAGATAGAGGAAAAGATTTTGTGGGTGTTTAATTTTTTTTAAATTGAAGAAGAAAGATTTTGTTTGTGAGTTTTATTTTTAAATATGAAAAATTGAAGAGGAAAAGATTTTGTGGGTGTTTACAGGAAGATTTTTTTTTAATTTGAAGAAGATAGAGCAAAACGCTCGTTATAAATTTGACGCAGTGCCAATAACGCCCGAATGAAGTTCTAGGGGGCAGTGTTTAATGCCCCTCAGGCGTTAAAAGTGCAATGACTCCATGGGGCGTTACAAGCATTACCACTGCCCTTAACACTAAATATTTCACAAATAGTTATTACATGTGGTGAAGAGACAATCATTATATAACATTTGGTTTTAAACTTTTAGTGCCAAATCTAGCAAATTTCTAGAATTTTTGAATTTATTATGTTCCTCGGGAAAAAAGAATTGTATAGCATTGACGAAGCCCGGCAATGTTCTTTCCTTCCAACAATGGGCGCAATTGGGAAGAAAATTGGACTTTTGGAGAATTTATTATGGGATTTGCTAGGGTACCCTTAGGTGGTATATCTAAGTGTCTGTGAGAATACACCACCACCTTATGGTGCCCCTAGGTTTTCCATTTATTATACATCAAATTACGTTTTCCCGTGATGGTTCAATGATACTCCATTTTCTGCAAACCTTAGTTTCAATTCACAATTTATACCAACAAATCACTCTCTCTGTCAAATTTTAAATGGCATGTTTTCCTTTTTTCTCTGTCCCAAAATAAATTATCTATTTTTTGTTATCGTAAACTTTTAAGAATAAAATACCTAAACTACTCCTAAAATAAGTCACTCTTCTCCACTTTATCTTCTCAGTCATCGTCACTCCTAAAAAGTAATGGCAATTTCAAAAAGTCCATTCTATTTTTTTTCTTCCTTAAATATATCCCAAAGTCAAAACAGGCAATTTAAAACAGGACGGAAAGAGTATATTTAATTGTTTACTTATTAATGTAAATTATTCGTTCTAAAAAGTAGCTATGTCACCTGTTTAAAAAGAAGCACACACATCACTTTAATGTAAATTACTCCGTAGAACAAATCAAGACCAATGTGCTCCTTCCATCCCACTAATTTTGTCTATTATTTCTATTTAACAAGTGAAGTTTTTTTTTTAATTTTCAAAAATGAAATTGGAAAGATTTATAATATTCTCATCAACCTCACTACAAATATAAATATTCTCAAACTAAGGACTTTGTCAAGCACGTTAATATTAGTAATCACTTGCTTTGTGTGGAAAATTATCCATCAAATCCTTGGTTAAGAATTTGAATAAAATTGGATCAAAATTATATATATGACTCCATCACACTAAGGTACACCTACATTTGTACATGGGAGGGACAGAAGCTAAGGGTGAAGTATTTTACATGTGCACTGCACATAATACAGGCTCCCAAGTCATTAATGGAATTTCATCTCTTGTCGGTTTCTTCGCCGTTCCTGAAACAACCAAAATGTTGGAACAGGAAAACCATTGTCTTGGAAGAAACAGACATTGAGAATCTCAACAGAAAGATTAGTGAGCTGTGATTGTTGATTACTGGCCTGGACAAATGCAGCAGCAGCACAGTAATGGAGAGAAGAGAACTATGGGGGGCTGGAGCTCTGTGGTGGTAGCTCAGAGCTCAGCATATGATGGAGTAATGCATCCACTCGCTGGCTTCGTGTTTTTGCACTGCATTTAACAACATGAAATTCAACATAAATAATAATAATAATAATAATAATAATAAAAACCACTCATTTACTAGAAACCATTATTATAGCCGGCATCAAATAAATGCTTTCTCAAATGGGCATTTGGAGAAGCAAAAAGTATATGTTTTGGCCAATTTCGTACGTTGTAGTGTTTCTGTCCAATTGCATTTCAAGTAAGATTATTTGTGGTGTGAACGCTTGGAGATTTGGGTGTATGTAGTAGGTGAGATGAGAGAGACATACCCAATAGTGTGTGGCCGGTGCTTTCCTGGTTCGCCCTGGAATTCAATGAGCAACAAATGCAAGGTGAAGAGAATAAATGGAATACGAGTCATCATGTTCTTCTTATCATACTCTAATACACGAGAAGTAAATGAATGAAGCAAAGCTAAGGGGTTGTTAACAACCTTTGCAGCATCTGCCTCCTCAGACATTGCTGAAGTCTCCAGCTCCATCACCGCTTGGAAAACCTCCAACACAAATGCGACAATCTGAAAAGAAGCAACACAAAGTTCCTTTTGAATCATCTGATTTTTTCTTAATGGAATAGTTTTTTTTCTGTCAGGTGTGATCTAGTAAGATCGTCATGCAACTTTCATGGATGATGAGGAGTTACCAAATTTAGTAGCCACAGTATAGATATAACATAGAAGCTGATAAAGTAGGCACAGCTCCACCAACTCCCTGTCAAATCCTTGTAACTCTGTGGAAGTAAAACTTGTATTAAAATCAATGATGATTTCCAAAATATTTAAAAACACAATCGGAATTTGTGTGAACATCATAATTAATGTACCATTAAAAAGTAGGAGTTTGAAAGGAAGATTGGTTGCGCAAGCGCGCGCACACACACACACACACACACACAGAGAACAGATTTTGGTTCAAATACAAACTCTTCTTCCAATGAAAACTAAGAAATATTTTAAACCCACGGTTTCCCCTAATAAGAACTAATCGGATCGACTCGACTGAGATGTCAACCGACAACCGTATCTACACTGCTTTTTCTGCAATAACCATGCAAGTTTTGGGCAAGCCAAGTGTGTGGACATCTCAAACGAATCATGCAAAATTTTGGTTTAAAAAATGTAGATTGAGTTTACATAGCAGATTTTGCATTGCAAAACTTGGAGCTATACACTGCAAAATTTTGCATTGATTGGGCACATCGGTCGATTGTGCTATTCAATTGCTTCACACATGGTTTGGGCCATGGTTGTTAAGTCGACAAGTCAAGCCGAGTCGGTGAAGAGGAGACTAGTGGACTAGTCGGCCAACTAGTCAAAGACTAGTCGACAAATCACAATTAGTATTGAAATTTTCAACATTATATATATCTTCATTGACCCAAGATAACTATATATATTTATATCACAAAATATCATTACCAAAACAAAATTATGTTTAAAGCTAGCACATAAAGTCACATAACGAAGGGTACGTAAGAAACAAATATCCTTCAATCTTCAAAAACAGCACATCACCAAAGATAATAAGCACAAAAAGAAGTCAAAGAACATATTAAAATATTTCAGGTAAAAAAAACATATTAAAATATTTAATTCCATGTTTTGAGTTATCAAATATCATCATCCAAAGTTGTGCCACCATGACAATTTTCTTCCATTGTGGAAGATGGCGATGAAAGAGACATTGGAATTTGAGAAGGGTTAAAGCCGACTGCCGTTGTGCTTTGGACCAAGGGAGGCGATGTTTTATGGAGTATTTGGGTCGGGTTGGGTCAAATTGGGTAGGTTCCTGTCAGCCACAAGTCGTCGCTTTGCTCGCCCGGACAAATAGTCCACCTAAGTCGCTAGTCGAGATGCAAGTCGCAACAGAAAACGACTTGATAACAATTATTTGGGCGACCTCTGCGTTTTTGGGTGAATGTGATGTTATTAGGTACTCACGCAGAGTCACTCTATGTTTGGTGCACCAACACAAAATGCCACAAAATTTGTAAGATGAACATTTCATATTGGTTAAGTTTTACTAAAAGAGTAGTTTTTACTAGAACCCAACACTACACGTGCGCGTGTGTGTGCCCACACACCATTGATACCTGCATCCAATAGTGCCAATTTCCCATCACCAATAAGTTGAAAAGAGTCACCATTCCATTTGGGTAATCGTTGAAGTTAAAAAGCAAATAGCTTCTTGTGTCAAGAAAAACAAAACTTAATAATATTCGAAGATGAAGATCTTGACTCTTGAGCATGAATGAACAAAAAAGCAAGCAGTGTGTGCAGAAATATAGTCAACACAAACAGTATGAAGTAGAACATCATTTATAACTAAAGACCTTATGATTGACTGACAAAAAGGATACTCATTATCAGCAAGATCAGTTTCATTCAATTTGGGATTCCCAGAATTCACAATTCCTCCAAAGATCTGCACAGAAGCTAATATATAAGAACAAATCTTGTTTCAACAGAAGAATATGTTGAAATCTTTTTAAGAGTTGTCAGTTATGGTCCATGGGGCGTGAAAGAAGTATACCTGTGAACCAAGCGAGCAATAAATGCATAAAATACAGAATACTGTCCCCAAGTACGGCATAATACTTGGTATGAAAGTCAAAAATGTTGCAATGA